CCAAATATATGAATTTTAAACAATAAATATACTGACATAAGTAGATATGTTTCAGAGAAATATTGTTTATTAGATAATTTGACACACTGCGTTGTATTAGAAATATACCTCTTGTACTATTTGAGGGCAGCCGAAATTATTTCGTAGTTACAGGGTGATTGCGTTTGAATATGTAAGGTGAAAAAATCAACAAAATGTTGAAATTGTTGCCAAAAAAATAGAAAATAATTACCTTGTGAGTTGTTCATCAAAAAAATATTATAAGTCCACATACAGGGTCATACTTTATTCAGGTATAAAAAAGTTGATTATACGGAAGGTCTAAATAGGATGTAGAAAAATTATGATTGGATTACAGGATTATTTGGCTCGAGTAGTGTTGTAAGTGCCTATTTGTATTGTATATTAAAATAAGATTATAAGCTCCATTCCACGCCACCAATGAGGTAAAGTCCCCAATACATTTTGTTTTAAGTCGCATCCCCTAAAAGATGGTTACAGTTGAAATTGCAAGGTGAAAAAATCAACAATATGTAAAATTATTGCCAAATATTAGAAAATAAATTGCCTGTGATTTCTTTATTGAAAAAAAGATTATAAATATACATACATTAATATTTTAAATAGGCAATAATAAACTTTGTCGAACTGACATAGTTTTTTAATAATTAGAAATTAAAAACATTTAATGGATCCTCAGAATAAAGAAGTCAATGAGCAGAAAAATCTGAGAAATTATCAAATTCTTAACTATCTTCTTATTCATTGAGAGTTTTCTTCAATGAAATCCATTGAGTGATAGTTAGGCACACAATGAAGTATAAATGTCATATCTATTTATTGGTACACATTCATATAAGAAATAGTATTTTCATGTTATTGGTCATTCATATATTTAACAGAAGTCCGAGCAGCTATATTATTCTAATTTTCACAGAACAATTGTTGATATTTTTATAGTTTACAGCTTACCTTTTCCTCTCTTGATTTTTCAAGGGCTTCTCAAAACAATATGATATGAATACAGGGTAATAAAATATTCTTAATTTTCGAATCACCGGTCTGTTTTTATATTGTCATTATGCAAAGGCATGCAAGTCGTTTTGTTAAGTATTTATTGATTATAACGCTATAAATATTTGAACTTGGAAATATAGTTATTCTTTAACGTCCTGTAACTCCGTAATTTTTCACTTTAGACGTAAAGTGTTATAGCTTGTTGTAATTGACACAACCAATGCATTTTAAATCGGTTTTGGTCTGGTACCGTGTTAAGAATCACCCTGTATATTCGTAATGATAAAATATAAAGCTTAAGACTGCCTGCATGCCTGAAATTTTGCTTTTTTTATATCTACTGTGATAATATATAATTTTTCCGAAGATTCTTACAAAAATTGATTACCCTGTATATTTTGTAACCTATGAGTTTTAGACGATTGATAGATTTTATTAGTAAATTCTAAATAATGGTGAATATGCCAAAAACCTTATAGGATATCTAAACATGCTTACACTTGATTTATATATATTCATTATTAAATATTTTCCGAATAATTGAACATCCATCTATTGCTGACTTCTATAATAAATGACGTTTTTATTACTTTATGTGAGTATTAGACCGTTCTGTATTAATGTTATAAATAAATAATGTTGCAAGTATGGCGTTTGCAAATAGGATAAGCTGTTATGTTTGCAATAGACACTTTTAACTTCGACTCAGTATTCGTTCAAACAAAGACAATAATATACTCGTATGTATATGTGCTTAACGTTGCTAATTTAAGAAGACAAGCTGCCAGTCATCCTGCAATCGATAATCTACAAGAAGTAAGTATAAACTGTTATCACACAATTACACAGGAACTTAGAAATATTGAAAATGATCCAAATTGCCTAAGACTTAAGGTTTTAACACCCTACTCAGTTCGTGGTTATATAATTTGTAACGCACAAGTAAATGTAAGGAAACTATCGGCAGTATGCAGAGCAAATATTTGTTTAGTTTCAAATATTTATGTAACCGAATATCTGAAGATTTTTGTGACATTCATCTAAATCAGCCACACTTAACCTGCGGCCCGCGGGCCGCATGCGGCTCTCCAAGCTGTTGTGTGCGGTCCTCCAAGCTTTTTTGCGGCCCTCCAAGCTTTTTGTGCAGCCCCAAACACGATTATTAGTAACTGAAATGGTTGAGCTTCAGTCCTGTATTAAAACAACATGGAGACCATTTTTTTAAGAAAATATTTAAAGCGGATCCTTATCTTCACCCATTGTCCTTTATTTGCATTTTAAAAAGGTGGCAACTTTAGTTATCACCCAAAAATATTGTGGCCCGTGTAATATAACAAACAGATTTATGTGGCCGAAAAGAAAAAAAGGTTGAGTGCAGCTGATCTAAATCTTTACTAATGATTAATTTACATGTTGGTTTGCGTTTGTTTTATAGACCATTCTTTCTCGTTAATTTAAGAGCGGCTGCTACTGCTAATAATAATTTAAAAATTGGGAATACATAAATACTTTTAGTATAGAAGAATTTAAATATTTAACTTCAATTTCTAAATGGAATTTCCAAGTATTATATGAATTTTGTGCACCAATAAAACAATATGGTAACTTAAGAAACATTGCTCAAAAATATTTACTTGCTTTCCTTGTTTAACTAAGACATGGATTGTCAGATGAGTTCTCAATCAGATATAAATACACATAAAGAGGCAATATAAAGAGCCAATGCTCCAGTCAAAATAAACATTTAATCCAATCGTTATTCATTTCCCTAAATCCTACTTAAACCTTTTGTTAATTTTTTCACCTTACATATTCAAACGCAATCACCCTGTAACTACGAAATAATTTTGGCTGTCCTCAAATAGTACAAGGGGTATATTTCTAATACAACACAGTGTGTCAAATTATCTAATATACAATATTTGTCTGAAACATATCTACTTATGTCAGTATATTTATTGTTTAAAATTCATATATTTGGTACATATTAAGTTATATTTGGAAAACTAGTCATAGGATCTAATTTTACCAATGAGAATTTTGAACGAGTACATCGAGTACTATACGATATCAAATATTGAGAGACTTTGACGGTGATATTTTTTTTTTCGGTATTTCAGCTATTTTTGTTCGATGGAAATACATACTTTGACCAAAAAAGATCTGCCGAATTATTAATCAGCCTGTAAGGGACAATATTTTAATTATAATAGTTGAGAATGTATTATGACTATACAGAATGAGCAACAAACTTCCAAATATATTTAAGGGTGATTTATGGTGTCCATTTTAAAAAATTAGAGATTTCTAACTTCAACACCCTGTATCTCGAAATCTAGTCATAGGATACAATTGGGCCCATGGACAGTTTTGATAGGGATATCAAGTAATTTAACATATCAAAAATTCAGACATTTTGACGGTACTCCCGTTTGCATATGAAAAGTGCGTGGTCCTTTACGGCCAAAAAAATTTACGTAAATATCTTATACGGAAACACGGTACAGTTTCACAAAACTTACAAAATTTGGCACCGTGACTCGACCAAAATTGACCGGAAACTCATAACAGCCGCAGCATTTATATACGCTTGCTCCGCTATCAATCAGATCTTCCATACTATTCCAAACAACTCGAAACCACAGTCGAAACTTCTTGTAGCGACGGTAAGCCGCGAGAATGTACGATATCCGTTGTAAATGACAGAGAGCAAATGAGAAACATCGATTCTGGCTTTACTTTTTACCTACATGGGATGTAGCGGAGCGGCATTGCCAAGTTTCAATAAATTCACCTATTCTCGGTAATTTTAAGGGTCTGTAATTAAGTTCTATATTAGGGCTCTAAGCCAAGAGTCTAGTGTCTGGGGCACTAACAACACGTTGCACTAAGGGGATTAGGGTGAAAATGTTTAACGCATAATAAGGTTATTAAAGATTAAGCCCCGAATACTGAAAGATTTAGAAACGCTGAATATGTAGGGGAACGGGGGCAGAACTGGGTAGCTAAGGTAAAAAAATTCTATATGACTCAATATTTTTAATTTATAACCAATATTTTGGCAATTGACTACAAACATTATCTTTAGAATAAACCCACGAAACTATAACAAAAAAAATCTTCCTTTATTGACTAAACCAAGAGCATCACAAAAAATTACGATTTTTCGCCACCCTTGGATTATTAAAATAACATTTTTATCAAAGCGTTAATGACTTATAACATGTTGTCCTGTGACCAGCTTTGACGGTCTGATTTTCTCTGGTAATTGTGTACCATTTTTTTTGACTAAAAGATCTAATAAAACATAAGGTGTACTATCGATCAATTAAAAAATGCGAACGGGACAAAACCGAGTAGCGCCCGGTTTTGTCCTGCCCGATTTTGCCCCAAGTGTACTTTTACAACAAATTGACTCAAATTGTTTTTATTTTAACCTATATTGGAAAACTTTTCTCACAAAAATGCACTACAGAAACAATGGTTTCAGGCTATAGTTAAACAGCATTTATTAATGGAGTCATGGAAGAATTTTAGAAAAGATAAAAAATATTAAAAATAACAGTACATATCTGATAAAATACAATAATTCACGAATGTTACGATTTACATGTCATCAAATTATTCTGCCCACTGACGGAAGTGTCACAACTAATTTGTAGCTACCGGATATGGAATTACCCGGTTTTGCCTGAGTACCTGTTTTTCCCCCCGTTCCCTAATTAGAAAGAATTAAACACGAAATAAGCACACTATTTAAATTTTTTATAGTTATCCGCCATGATGTGTCGAATCATAGTTAAAAAAATGTTATTGTTAGACATTTTAGTCTATGTGAACATGTCCGTCAAATAACCAATCAGAAACTAACAATTAAGATCGAAAAATTTAAATCGATCCAGCTAGTTACAACACAAAGTATAGAAGTAGCAACTTACTCGTTTTATCATTATTTGTAGAATATTTATTTAAAGGTTACTTACTTGTAATATTATTACACATTGGTAATTCACCAGGTGGTTCAGGGAAAATCCCAAAAGAGGCATCTTCTGTATCAACAGCCCCTCCTAAGCTATCGGGCTTTACTACAACCAAAGACGTAAAGTCTGATACCAAGGAATAGTTAAGTGCTAAGTTTAGTGCCAATGTAGAAAACGTGATGTTGCCAGTAGCTTGATATTCATCGATTAACTGTTTTACTGTCAAATAAGCCCATACTTTTTCTAATTTTGTAAGAGGAACACCGAGTTTTGACTCTAGATTAACAGGGCCTTGCTTCGATTTCGCAGACACTGTTATAGGATTCTTTTCGTTCTCGGATATGCCTGGAACATAAGTATTTTTTAATATCATATATTAAACGACTAAGGGAGTTTGATCTTGATTATATGAGGAACCACTTCCGCATAGACCACTTTGTAGTTACGCCTCTGGCTTGGGACGATTTACTAGTTAAAATAAAAAAAACCTGGCCCTCGCCTTTCTTGTACCTACCGATCACTCATTATGGTTTCTAGTTCCTAAATCGCGCTATAAATAGAGTGGGAATACTATTAGATATGAATCACCTAAAGTATAACAATTATATTGCAATAATGAGAGGGTTGATCTATGCAGAAGTGGTTCCTCATATAGTCAAGATTCAATTTCCTTACATGTAAGTCGTATGACTATATATTTCGGAACCACTTCCTTACAGACCACCTTGTAGATTTTTAAAGTAAATGCAATCTAAGCTACATATTCAATAATAAAATGAATACCTTATTATACCTTTTATGTACAATGTAAACAGTAAATGACTTGGTTTAATCATAGTAATAAAATTATTTGACAACAAAAAAATAACCAAACATTCAAATTTATTAGGTATATCATTACTAATTTTCAGGTCTGTGCTAGTTGACTTAGAGGTTTTAATTAAATCTGTGATTCTAATCTAATTCTGATTTTTTTCATTTTTTTTTTATTAGGCATTTAAATATTTGATAGCGCCTGCATTTTTTAGAAGACCCAGGTGCTAACCACGTAGTCAATTTCAGAATTAATTTTTCTAACGATAGAGAATCTAAAGGAAATATTATAAATATGTAATTCAAAACAACATTTGGGTCACAAATTGTAGTATATTTAGGAAACTTTAGTTTAAAAGCCCTTGAAGTAGCGACTAATAATATCTTTATCGTCAAACTTATTGTATACTATTTTTATTGCCCAACTATGATAACTAAAAGAATTGTAGTCAAACTCTAAAGTGAAAAAACCTAAAATATCCTGCATTGAGTGAGAGTTTATTTAAGGATATTTCTCACTTATTATGAAAGTCCACCAAACTTTTAATGAACTGTTATATTGTTTTAAGAAACTATTACTTGAAGATATATTTATTCCTGGTTGTATATTTTTTTAGCGATACTTTTCCCTAATAAGAGTAGCGCAACCTCTCTAAAAGGTAGAGTATTTAAAATAGGGATAGGTTTTAAATACATAGGTTTAAATTCGATTATCCCCCAGTTAGGGATTGCAATCCGGTAATCCGGCGGATCCGGCATCAATATACACTTACCGGATCCGGTACGAATACACCGAATCCGGTGACGAGGTCCGGTTATTGCATAGGTACTTTAAACTCGTTGTGCTTGTTCAAGTGAGTCGATTGAAGCTGAAAAGGAAATGATTGCATTTGAAAGGAATACATGCCCTGCTATTATTATTTGCTGACAATTAGACCAACAAAAGTGTAGCAATAACCAATAATAATTTTATCGCGAATGCAGGATAGAACCAATAGTTCAATTCTTTTTGTTCCGCGAACTTTTTTTAACTACAGGCATCGCATCCTAATTTGTCTGTAGTGGGGTAAAGTTTGCGCACTGCTGACACACCTTCAAACGATCTTAGATCTTACTGGCTACTATTAAAGCTCAGTAACGTATACTACTTTCGCTTAAAATAAATTTTCTAGGCTTTTTAAAACGATCACGATCAGATTAATCACAAAATTTTAATCCTTAATAACGGTCAAATCGAGTCCGCCCTCGTTTCTAAGAATGGCTATCATTTGATGGTATTATAGGAAATACCAGATTACCTACAAAATGGATCAAACGCAATTATGTAAATAGGTTTTTAAGTATTACAGAATTTGTTAAAATTTATTTGTTATCTATGAGCTAAAATGTATTCTGTTAAAAAAATTTATTGGGTGAAAAAAAAAATGGTGATTTTGCACTTGATATCTTTAATATTTTAACAAAATGTGAGGATGAAGTAGAAGTGGTGAACGTGATCAGTATACAAATATTAAAATAAGACAACGAGGATTTTTTAAAAATATGTCAACAAATACTGAATGTATACTAACCTTTATTCCTTGTTGCTATAACTATATACTATCAAACAAAATAAACATAAACAAATTAACAATGTTCTAAAAAATCAAAATCATTACTATCACTAGAACTATCACTGCTGTCTTCATTAATATTAATAATAACTGTAGGAGTTACAACGTCATCCATTATAATTTTGCGATCTAAATATCTTCGATATAGCTATTACATGTGTACATCTTCTTTCCAGTCTTCTTGGGATAATGATTTAAATTCAATTTCAGCATTTGTACATGTAGCGCAGATAATTTCTATTGGATTTAAGTCTGGGTGGTATGATGGTAATTTCAAAACTGTATGAGCGTGTTCGGAGATTAATCTATCAAATTTCTATTGCTTGAATATATTTTTATGCTTTTTGATTAATGTGTACAGCTGTGGTCGTAATAAGGAAGGTTGAAATTCAATATTGTTGGACGTCAACCAGTCATTTTAGCTTTTCTTGAATATGAATTCGGAGCAGAATTTTCTATACCATTGTAATACGGTGCATTATCCGCAACTACAATAGCATTTGGTGGTAAATTTGGTATTAACAGTTCTCTTAGCCACTTTTCATAATTTTCTTGATTCATATCATTATGATAATCACCAGATTTGGCCCCAGACACAAACATTAATTAACTGTTAGGAATAAAGCCCATGTTACCACCAGCATAAACTATAAGTCTCTTTCCTTTCAAAATGGTGGAAAAGAAACCTTTTGCATTATCATCACCCCAATTATGTGATGATGTATGGCTACTATGTATATAAGTTTCATCAATATACACCGTGTCCCACGTAAGGCGGGCATTACAATTTTATGGAGAATAAATTAATTTGTATTTTCGCCATTTTCTGAGTATACATAATCGAATATGCTCTTTTGAATTAAAATAAAATGAACTCTGTGCAACTTCCGGTTATACCGGAAGTGACCACTAACTTCGTTATTTTAAAGGGAATACCCCATATTTTTTTTTTAATTTTAGATTCAGCATGAAATTCTGTAAACAACAATACCCCATTTGCCTATTCTAGTTATAGCGGATTTGGCGTTATTCAATTTTTTTCTACATTTTTAGTCGCCGGTAGACATTTTCTTAAAGTCGTCTATCTCAGGTACTATATCTATCAGATACTTAAAATTTTAACCAGAGGTAGTAGATGGGATGTACTTCTTGAGAATATTTAGCTATTCATTATTTGTTATACGGGGTGTTTGCAAATTATTTTTAAAAATGAAATTTTTTAAACATAAAAAACTTTTTTATTTTAAAGGGAACATCCTATATATTTTTTAAATTTAGGATTCAGCATGAAATTCTGTAAACAATGATACCATATTTGCCTATTATAATTATAGTGTATTTGGCGTTATTAATTTTTTTTTAATTTTTAGTCGTCGCGCCGGTAGGCATTTTCTTAAAGTCGACTGTCTCAGGTACTATTTCTGTTGGATACTTGAAATTTTAGCCAGAAGTAGTAGATGGGGTGTACTTTTAAAAACATTTACAGTTTTCTGCAACAAAATATGTCGTTTAAAAAGTTTAAATTTTTTTAATGATAAGGTACATACTAACTAGAAACAATTTTTATTAAAAGCACATGGTTTAAAAAAATCATTTTATCACATGTTCAAAATGCCCCCCGTTAGCTTCTAAACATTTTAACAATCTTTTTTCAACATGATTAGTTGTTGCTTTACGAATCATTTCACCATCTAACTCGTTAAAGGCATTCCGAACTCTTTGCTCTAATTCTTCTTTAGTATTAATTTGGGTAGAGTACACTAAATTTTTAATATGACCCCATAAAAAATCAACAGGAGTTAGATCTGGCGATCTTGCAGGCCAAAACCAAGGACCATTTGGACCTATCCATCGGTCTTCAAAGAGTGCTGTAATTTCTTGATTTACATAGTATGTTGAATGTGCTGGGGCACCATCCAACTGGTACCAAAAATTATTATTTGGTAGCTGGTTTAAAATGTCGGCAACTACTTCTCTAAGAATTCTAATGTATCTTTCTGAGGTCAGTCTTTCATTATAAATGTAATAAGAAGCTCTTCCAAAACCGATCACTGCAAACACATTAAAACTAAATTCGTACTGAAATTGTGCTTTACGATAAAAATGTGGATTTTCGTTTGCCCAGAAATGACATTGCTTGCGATTGATGATCCCTTTACGTGTAAATTTCGACTCGTCTGACCACAAAATTTTGTTTAAAATCTCGGGATCTTCTTGAATTCGTACCAATAACCATTCGCATAATTCAGTTCGTCTTATTTGATCACCATCTCGCAACTCATGAACTTTTCTTTGTGCATAGGGATCCCATTTATTTAGTGCTAAAATTCGTTGTATTGACCCTCGACTAATATTTAAATTATCTTGAGCCATTCTAATGGAGGCGTGAGGATACGCAGTAAAATACCCTAATACGTTAATTAGATTAACTTCTTCATCTCGGACATAATGTTGACAGTTTCTTCCCGGGTTTTGTTTAAAATTATTCAAAAAGTTAGCTTCGATTCTATCAAATTTCTGTCTGTTCATTGGTGGTAAATGAGGGTATCGTTCATTAAACATGCGGCAGGTTCTACTTTTGATTCGATTACATTCTCCATGAATGTAAAATAAATTAAGAATATCTTGGTTGGTATATTCTTCAATATTTTCCATATTTTCCATATTTTGAACGCAAAAAATACACAACTTAAATACATAGAAATATGACAATTCAGTTTGTTGACAGATTGTTGTTTAGCATATTTCCACGGCATACTAAGATAAAAAATTAAAATGTAAAACTATACTATATTATGTAGGTGCATGCGTAAAATTTAAATTTAAATTTTCTTAAAATTGGCGAAAGATAATTATAGGGAATTAATAGTGCAAATGAAGATCAATGAAGAATAATTTTCTGAACAAAATGAAATAAAAATATACAGGATTTTCCATTTAAAATAAAAAAAATTTCATGTTTAAAATATTTATTTTTTAAAATAATTTCCAAACACATAGTCGAACAAACGATGTACAAGTAAATTTAAAAAAGCAAATGTCTGCCGGCATATAAAAGTTTATAAAAAACTGAATAACGCCAAATACACTATAATTAGAATAGGCGAATGGGGTATCATTGTTTACAGAATTTCATGCTGAATCTAAAATTTAAAAAATATATAGGGTGTTCAATTTAAAATAAAAAAGTTTTTTATGTTTAAAAAATTTCATTTTTAAAAATAATTTGCAAACACCCCGTACAACAAATGTTGAATAACTAAATATTCTCAAGAAGTACATCCCATCTACTACCTCTGGTTAAAATTTTAAGTATCTGATAGATATAGTACCTGAAATAGACGACTTTAAGAAAATGTCTACCGGCGACTAAAAATGTAGAAAAAAATTGAATAACGCCAAATCCGCTATAAGTAGAATAGGCAAATGGGGTATCGTTGTTTACAGAATTTCATGCTGAATCTAAAATTTAAAAAACATATAGGGTGTTCAATTTAAAAAAAAAAGTTTTTTATGCTTAAAAAATTTCATTTTTAAAAATAATTTGCAAACACCCCGTACAACAATCATTGAATAACTAAATATTCTCAAGAAGTACATCCCATCTACTACCTCTGGTTAAAATTTTAAGTATCTGATAGATATAGTACCTGAAATAGACGACTTTAAGAAAATGTCTACCGGCGACTAAAAATGTAGAAAAAAATTGAATAACGCCAAATCCGCTATAAGTAGAATAGGCAAATGGGGTATCGTTGTTTACAGAATTTCATGCTGAATCTAAAATTTAAAAAAATATGGGGTATTCCCTTTAAAATAACGAAGTTAGTGGTCACTTCCGGTATAACCGGAAGTTGCACAGAGTTCATTTTATTTTAATTCAAAAGAGCATATTCGATTATGTATACTCAGAAAATGGCGAAAATACAAATTAATTTATTCTCCATAAAGTTGTAATGCCCGCCTTACGTGGGACACGGTGTATACAATGGGACGGTTTTGAGAACGAAAATATTTAATTTTTTTAGTATAATCTATTCTTTTTTCCCTGATGTCAAGCCGTTTTATTAGAACCTGTCTGTTGTTTCGCGTTTTTCGCCACTTGAACCCAATTTTTTTTTAAATAGTTCATAATGATGTGTAGCTCCCTTTCCACTCAATTTTATTTTTTAATTTTTCACTAAAAGTTTTGACTGTTTCGTGAAATCTATGAACTATATCTCTGATTGTTCCAATATTGTAGGATGGAATATCTGTTACACTTGATGTTCTTTTGTGCTTTTTTGGACTTTTAAACAATTGTTTAGGTATGGTCGACGTAGACTTTTAATATAGAATTATAAGAGAAGGAGTAATCAATATTTCTATTAGTAATTCATAAAATATATACAAGAAATAAACAATTTTAAAATTAGCAAATTTATATTTCTAAATTTTTAATTCATTATCAATACGCCACTGATTTTAAATTAACAAAAATTAAATTCCTAAACTTCTAATTCATTATTATATTCTTTTTTTACTCTAGATTTATCACGGCTAATATTTACACGAACACGCTTTTTTTGGAGACACACTAGGTAGGCACGTAGAGTTCCTAATTTTTCCGCACTAGAAATCATAATGAATGATCGGTAGGTACAAGGGAGGCGAGGCGTAACTTCAAGGTGGTCTATAAGGAAGTGGCTCCGAAATATAATAAGATTATTGGAATGCTTCGTGCAGTATTGGCTGTAATGCATCTTTTTGATATTTAAAATATTTCATAAATTACCTCTTGCAGCCACTACACTTTCGCTTCCATTGAAAAACAACGTAAAATGCGATTGAGTTATTTCTGCGGATTTGGGAAAACCGTTGAATGTAACATTGCTGAGCAGAGGAATTGAAATTTTGCTATAAAAATTTTGTAAGAGTACGGAAGAGTCTCCGCTTACTGGAATCTTTGTAGGCTTTCCGTCGCTTTGTAAGCTCAAAGTTTTTAAAAATGACCAATCTGCGTCAGATCCGAAGCATAGTGAGTAGATTGGTGTGTTGTAACTTGCTTTGTTTAAAATATTTACCTATAATAAAAAATACAAAAGATTAGAAAAATAACGTAAATCATGGGTCTATACTTCAGACCCTATTATTTTTATACGGAAGTCATCAGTTATGGTAGGAGAGCCAGTGATACTTCTAGGGCTGTTACTATTGATAGAATAGATACATTCCAAATTATGTAGTGGACTTCTTGTGGAATTTGGATGGATAGTACTTGACAAGAATTTATTGTTAGTTTCTCCTACTATGAAGTGATATAGAACAATTTTTTTTTAATTTTGCGAACTGATTTTTTTTTGGCTCGAATCAGGACTATGACACAGCTGTTGTTGATTGACGTCTTTGTGGTGCTCGTAGAAATATGTGCTCTCAATTTGTGGACAAGGTTTCTCTTCATATTGATGGAGAATGATACTGAGTAGAGGGACAGGATTGGGTGAAATGATAATAGAATTTTCATAGGATAAGGGATTAATGTGGTCAAGAAATCGCTGTTTATTAGAATAGGTATGAGAATAGCCAATAATATTTTTGAAAGTTCCATGTTTATTTATATTCCTGCTAATTAGAAATATTTCTATGGTTTTTTAAACTTAATGACTTTTGTTTCGCCGTGTATTATTGAAACATGTTCCAAATTGTCACTTATATTACCCCTAGTGCTAAAATTATTACCGGAAATTTTTTTCAAGGTCACGAATGTTTTTGATAATTCTCCCTCGTCTTTGACTCGGGAAAATTATCTTATAAAAAAAAACATGAGTGAAACCGAGATAAAAAATTCCTGAAATTAATTTTGGCACATGTGGTATTCGGTAAGAATATTTTATGACAAAACCATCCAAAATCCAAAGAGATACCTGCCTGCTTTTTGACAGGAAAATTTAATTCATGACAGATGCTAGTTAAACACATACTCTTTTGTTAGAGGTATCATAGTAGGTTGTTGAATGATGAGTTTGCCTGACCAAATTCAAAACAAGGTGTATAGTCGTGTTTATTAAATATTTTAGTTTCCCTATGCTCTAGTAAAATGTAGGTGTATTCGAAATAATATTATTTTGAAAATTCCACACCTGTAATTTTGAACCAATCAAAATACCTGTTTTTGACAGATCACCATGGCAACGGAGGTATTTTAGTGGAAATTTTTTTCTCGTGGGGTACCCAACAGCGAATTATACTGGAAATTTTTTGACGTTTACAATAACAGACCATTTTTGACAGACTGGTTTTTATTTGTTCACATAATGGGTTTAGTTTTGGTACATTTTAGTTACAATGCTAAGGTGTTTTCTATATTCTTCGGCCACTTCTTTTCTTCTTAATGGCGAAAATGCAGGACTTTGGATGCTTTGAATTATGTGTCTATGTCTAATAAAATATATATATTATTTAGACACTAATTTATTCACCTTTTTCCCATTCAGCACTTTGAATTTTGCGTAGTTTAGATGCAAATATTCGTGGACAATTCGGAACAAATTTTCGTTTTTCAAGTTGGAGCCACAATCCTCTATTAATCCGAGTAAGTAAGTCATGGTGCAATGATTGATCATTACATCAGACAATTTCACGCATATTTTGCATAGCGTATGATTTTCAAATCGATTCATTTTTAAACAAATAGGTAATTTTGTTGGTTTTACTTGCTGTGCAATATTCTTTATCGCAACAAAACGCGAGTTATTTAATGTTTTGAACTGTCAAAATACAATGATCACAGCCTCCTACGATTGATGCTTGCTGACGCTGGTTATGAATTTCATACCATTTTAAAGCGCTCATAACGCATGTTAATAAAAACGCAGAAAAACAATTTTCTACCACTTGTAGTTATTCAAAACTTACGTAAGATTAAAGAATATACTATTTTCTATTTTCAAATGGTATTCCCATGCAACTACAATGAGTAGAAATAAGCAATTTGAAGGCCTAAATAATTGCAGCGAAACATTTTTTTACGTCGGGCCGCTTGACAACTTCAAAACTGAAATTATATTCGAGGTTAGGGTCTCACTTAGTTACCATGACAACTCAACGATCAAGGCGACAACACCTTTTATGTTTCACTGGTGACTTGGAGAAAATAATTTGCATTGTTGAGAAACGAAAAATAAATTTTAAAAATATTTAATTTTCAACCATAATTCGGCGTGGAATTTTCTTACCGAATACCACGCGAGGTCAAATTAATATTATGAAATTTCCGGAAATAATTTGACCTCTAGTGGTATTACTAGTGAATACACCTTCAAACGATGTGAAATAGAAAGATGGCGATCTTTTATTTTAAAAAAATTATCTCGCCATTAATCTATAGCCACCTGTAGAGCAAAAATTTGAAATGAACCGACAGAGATTGTATAATGTTCCTGTTAAAAAGCAATATTTTAGAAGCGACTGCCTCTATTTAGTAAAACGTGACAACGCTGTCTGTGAGATATTGTGTCAAGACTGTCAAGCAAGTGGTTAGAGAAGAGATTTCAAATAATGGCGTCAGTCCAGGTCTTTATATAATTTAAGTTTTTCGTTATATTGTTTAGTAATATTGTTCCATTGCTGTATCTTTATGAGATTAAAATAATATAAAACAAATAATTCACAATTATTTTTTAACAGTTCTCCATTTATTTTATATAAAATTGATGTTTTTGTATTTTCATTTTTTAATTTATTTACTAAATCTACAGAAAACTTTAGGTTAAGTAATTCGTTTAGTCCTAGTAACTCATCATAATGATTATGTAATTGAAATAAAATTTAATTTAATATTGGAATTATTGAATTCACCAAATGTAGGAATTTTAGCTTTATATTCGGTTTGTTTCGTAACTATACCAGTATTATTAAAATTGGGTGGCTGTAAATATTTTCTCAGAAATATTTCTTAATGACATAGGGACGTACTAGACATAGACATACTACCAGTACCTTTATAAGTAGTTTTCAAGGTGGATTTGATATACCTATACGGCAAATCCGAAGATTATGAATTAGAAAATATTTTATTTATGTTCCTTGTTTTCTCTATCTGGCATCCAAAAATTTCCGGCACATTGATTGTCTAAATTATTTGGGTCAGAGTTTATACAAATTTATTTTCTGAATTTAAATTTATTTGATGATTCGGCAAATAATTTTTGTATTCGAAATTTACTTGATCAATAGGAATTTCCTCAAAAGGATTTTGGAAATTTATGTTATCTGTTTGAAAGAGTTGTTGGATTGCAAAATTATGTTGATAGTTATATCTAGATCTATAGGTGTTTTAGAAGGTTGATGAATAGTTTGTAGTGGCATACATGCATTACATATCTTCTCTACACTTATGTCATATGCGTTAAAATGCCTTCATCCTTTGATAATTTTTTACTACATGGCAAAGATTGATATAAATATTTCAGACATAACATTTTTATTTTTATACATATCTGTTTTTAGGCTATTGCATAGCTTTTATCGCGGGCTTTGAGCGCGGCGACCGAATCAAAAAATTCCGAAAGTCCGTAACGAGAAAAAACCTAACACCCCTCACTCCGACCGGCACAGCGGTGCGGCGTTAAACAATATTCTCATTTATTCAATCCAAGAAAATCGAAAAATCGAAAAATCGAAAAATCGAAAAATCGAAAAATCGAAAAATCGAAAAATCGAAAAATCGAAAAATCGAAAAATCGAAAAATCGAAAAATCGAAAAATCGAAAAATCGAAAAATCGAAAAATCGAAAAATCGAAAAATCGAAAAATCGAAAAATCGAAAAATCGAAAAATCGAAAAATCAAAAAATCGAAAAATCGAAAAATCGAAAAATCGAAAAATCGAAAAATCGAAAAATCGAAAAATCGAAAAATCGAAAAATCGAAAAATCGAAAAATCGAAAAATCGAAAAATCGAAAAATCGAAAAATCGAAAAATCGAAAAATCGAAAAATCGAAAAATCGAAAAATTGAAAAATCGAAAAATCGAAAAATCGAAAAATCGAAAAATCGAAAAATCGAAAAATCGAAAAATCGAAAAATCGAAAAATCGAAAAATCGAAAAATCGAAAAATCGAAAAATCGAAAAATCGAAAAATCGAAAAATCGAAAAATCGAAAAATCGAAAAATCGAAAAATCGAAAAATCGAAAAATCGAAAAATCGAAAAATCGAAAAATCGAAAAATCGAAAAATCGAAAAATCGAAAAATCAAAAAATCGAAAAATCGAAAAATCCAAAAATCCAAAAATCCAAAAATCCAAAAATCCAAAAATCCAAAAATCCAAAAATCCAAAAATCCAAAAATCCAAAAATCCAAAAATCCAAAAATCCAAAAATCCAAAAATCCAAAAATCCAAAAATCCAAAAATCCAAAAATCCAAAAATCCAAAAATCCAAAAATCCAAAAATCCAAAAATCCAAAAATCCAAAAATCCAAAAATCGAAAAATCGAAAAATCGAAAAATCGAAAAATCAAAAAATCGATAAATCGAAAAATTGAAAAATTGAAAAATTGAAAAATTGAAAAATTGAAAAATTAAAAAATCGAAAAATCGAAAAATCGAAAAATCGAAAAATCGAAAAATCGAAAAATCGAAAAATCGAAAAATCGAAAAATCGAAAAATCGAAAAATCGAAAAATCGAAAAATCGAAAAATCGAAAAATCGAAAAATCAAAAAATCGAAAAATCGAAAAATCGAAAAATCAAAAAATCGAAAAATCGAAAAATCAAAAAATCCAAAAATCCAAAAATCCAAAAATCCAAAAATCCAAAAATCCAAAAATCCAAAAATCCAAAAATCCAAAAATCCAAAAATCCAAAAATCCAAAAATCCAAAAATCCAAAAATCCAAAAATCCAAAAATCCAAAAATCCAAAAATCCAAAAATCCAAAAATCCAAAAATCGAAAAATCAAAAAATCGATAAATCGAAAAATCGAAAAATCGAAAAATCGAAAAATTGAAAAATTAAAAAATCGAAAAATCGAAAAATCGAAAAATCGAAAAATCGAAAAATCGAAAAATCGAAAAATCGAAAA